AAATGTAAGATATCGGCACAATGTAAATCATCAATATAATGATTAACCCATTTTTCGCATAACACGACCAGTCGAGAAACCAGGTGAATGTCCAGTGGTGGCTGATGGCGTAGTTGGTACATGTGCTGAATATTGTTCTAATGATGGTGACTGTGGTGGAGATCATAAATGCTGCTCTAATGGCTGTGGACATACGTGTGTAGCACCAGCTAGAGGTAACACGATCTATAATTGTGACGTTCATTTTGTTTAAATACTTGTAACATATACGAAACGTTTTATAACGCCATGTGACATTGGCAGATATTTGCATATTTCTAAATGTAAGATATCGGCACAATGTAAATCATCAATATAATGATTAACCCATTTCCCGCATAGCACGACCAGTCGAGAAACCAGGTGAATGTCCAGTGGTCGCTGATGGCGTAGTTGGTACATGTGCTGAATATTGTTCTAATGATGGTGACTGTGGTGGAGATCATAAATGCTGCTCTAACGGCTGTGGACATACATGTGTAGCACCAGCCAAACGTAATAACAACTATTTTGTGGTCTTTATACTTTTTAAAGTAGCAATACTTGTAAAATATGCGAAACGTCTTATAACGCCCTGTTACATTGGCAGATATCTGCATATTCCTAGATGTAAGGTATTGTCACAGTGTTAAATCACCAAGTTAATGATCAACATATTTCCCACATAGCACGACCAGTTGAGAAACCAGGTGAATGTCCAGTGGTGGCTGATGGCGTAGTTGGTACATGTGCTGAATATTGTTCTAATGATGGTGACTGTGGTGGAGATCATAAATGCTGCTCTAACGGCTGTGGACATACATGTGTAGCACCAGCCAAACGTAATAACAACTATATTGTGGTCTTTATACTTTTTAAAGTAGCGATACTTGTAAAATATGCGAAACGTCTTATAACGCCCTGTTACATTGACAGATATTTGCATATTTATAGATATGAGATATTGGCACAATTTAAATCACTATGGTAATGATTAACATATTTCCCACATAGCACGACCAGTCGAGAAACCAGGTGAATGTCCAGTGGTCGCTGATGGCGTAGTTGGCACATGTGCTGAATATTGTTCTAATGATGGTGACTGTGGTGGAGATCATAAATGCTGCTCTAATGGCTGTGGACGTACGTGTGTAGCACCAGCAAGAGGTAATAACAATTTATATTATTACATTCATATTGTTTTATGTAGTAACGTATTACGACGCAATGATACAGTGTATATCACCACGTCAACATATTTCCCACATAGTACGCCCATATAAAAACAAACAGATGAATGTCCACTCGCTATAGAAAACGCAGTTGATATATATAAAATATATCTTATAAATGATCGTGACTGTGTCAGAGGTCATAAAAATGTTGGTCATATGTACCTGGCGTTAAGAAGTAGTAGTATTTGTTAAATACGCGAAACCACTTATAGTCCCATGCTGCATTCGCAGACATAGCATATTTTTAGACGTAATATTTGTGTAGAGTGTATGCATCAGGTTATTTGTTACATCAACATTTTCCCTACCTAGTACGTCCAGTAGAGAAAAAGGGGGAATGTCCAGTAGTTGAGGAAGGTACATTTGGTATATGTAGTGACTATTGTTCTAATGATGGTGACTGTGGTGGAGATCATAAATGCTGCTCTAATGGCTGTGGACATACGTGTGTAGCACCAGAAAGAGGTACATAAGAACAGTGAAAATCGGGAATTTGATCAGCAGTGGTAGTAAATTATGTGCTACTTTCTTACTAAATATTATTGTTAGATACTAATTGTACACTAGTAATAAGTGTATAATACATATTAAATGTATACACTAATGCATTTTTCATACAGCTCGTTCTGTTGAGAAAACAGGCCTAGCTGTAGAGAAAGGCCTTCATGGGATATGTAAGTAATGGTTTAGTAGAATAATTTATTTTTTATTTCCAGATGAACCAGAACAGAAACCAGGCATTTGTCCTGCTGCACCAGAAGCTATAGCTGGATTTTGTGCTGATTTCTGTGATAGCGACATGGCTTGTTTTGGCGATGAAAAATGTTGTTCCACTGGTTGTGGGCACGTATGTCTTGCACCTGTGAAAGGTATTTCTTAAATACTACTTCAGAAATAAACATGACCTGGCCGTTCAGGAAATTTGTCATGCCCACATGTTACGCAAATACAAATTTTGAACAAAATGGCAGCCGTTTTATTAAATATCACTGTATGAGTGGGTACTGCATCTCTGATTGCATGGAAACAAATCGGGCTTTATAACCATATTTGGTAATGTTATCGAAATGCCTAGAACAGTTATATCAATAATTTCGACAGGAAATGAATTTGTTTACTATCACTATTCCTTGAGTTTGAATGGTATTCTATATTGAAGTGCGCATATTTATTAATTAATTCATCATATTTATTAATGTCATAAATACTCGCCCGTAACACATACTAATAATAAGTACTGATTACTGTCTAACAACAGAGAAAGAGGGAACTTGTCCAGCTGTTCGGCCCGGAGTTGCTGGTGTATGTACAGAGTTTTGTTCCACGGATAATGATTGTAACGGAAAATTTAAGTGTTGTTCCAATGGATGTGGCCATGTTTGTGTTCCACCATTCAGCCTGGGTGGGGGAATAGGAGGTAAGATTATAAAATGTTGAAATATATGTATAAGCAATGTAGTAACGTGGTGTTCATCCTACTCCATTTTTAGAGTTTACTAAAATGTCATCATGTATCATTTTAATTAGTGCTACAATGTTTTTATGCATTATTTTTACTAAATCTGTGTTCTTAATACCACGATCTTTATCTAGGTGGTGTTGATAAATCAGAACCTCCATGTCACAAAGAACTACGGGTTGTTGAAAGTAGAGGAAAACTGTTAGGTAAACGTAAATTATTTATGCTCTCGTTCGTGCTCTATATTAGATACGATTCTATTTCACTCTTAATGTATCAGTACATATGTTGACGTATAGTATTTTATTCATGATGTTATAGGGGCGTTCAAGCCTCGGTGCACGGATGAAGGTTATTATGAAAAGAAACAGTGCTGGGGAAGCACAGGACATTGCTGGTGTACAAACAAACATGGAGAGGAAGTTGACGGAACCAGGACAAGAGGATCTCTTGATTGTGGTAGGTCAATTTTACATTAGCACACATGTTTAAAAGTAAACTAAATGCTGTTTTGTACAGCTGTTTACGATGTCTATCAACTACATGTAATATACTATGTCGAAGACTTATTAATAATTTACTAAGAACGCTTTAAATAGAGATTTGTTCTATTGTTTTCTAGACAAACTTGGTACATGCCCAGCTGTGTCGAATGATGCCGTCGGTATTTGTGTGGAGTCATGTTCCTACGATCACGATTGTCCTGGCAACGACAAATGCTGTTCTAATGGATGTGGACATGTATGTCGTCCTGCTGGTAAGAAGGCATTCACTGATCCTGAAAGTATATATTTCCACTATTTTACAGGCAAAGTATCATATTGTTTCTATTTTTCTGTCTGTACTCATTCTGAGATATTTTCTGTATATTTGTACTTTTCTGTAGACCTTGAAAAAGAAGGAACGTGTCCAGTGATACAAAGTGGTTCAGGTGGTATATGTGTACAGGAATGCGCACATGATTATGAATGTGAAGGTGATAATAAGTGTTGCTCCAATGGGTGTGGCAACGTCTGCAGTCAAATACAAGACGGTATGTACATATGCATTGTATTATTGTTGACAATATGTCATACGTTTATAATAATCAGGTGTTTGCGACCAATTGCTCTAATTAGGTTTGTATCACTTCACCACTTGTTACTTAAGTAAATACATGTAACAATATTTGCTGTTGACATTATTACAGACACGCCTCTGGAACCGCCTTGTCGTGCAGATGTCCTCAAAGCCTATGCAGATTACACAGAAGGTAAGTTGTCTAGATTATAGCACAATTCATACACATCTCATGTGTTTCAGATATATGAAATATATCGAGGTCTGTAGATAACGTGTACAGTATATGGGAGAAGATATGTAAGAAATCGAGATAATTATAATTTACCCAGAAAGCTTGAATATAGACACTCTAACAAAATTCATCATATTTTCTGAAGAAAAAAAAATTCCTCAACGTTGATCGTTTCTGGCCAAAGATTTAACTGGCCGCGGGGGCGGGTACTTTAGGAGTGGGTGAGTCATTCAGCTTTTAAAGAAATTCCAGAAATGTGCTTCAATGACTAATTGTTATTGCTTGGTTTGAGCAGTGGCCATTGGCCAGTCTTGAGTGACTTCATCTTGAAATACGTCCAACTCGCGACGTAATTTCACGCGCTTCAGCGTTCCGTGATCATTTTTATTTTCCATTAGTAAATAGATAAACTTTTTACATCAGATGCGATCGTTCGCTATTGTTTAATATTACGTTTTATGCATTTATAGAAACGCAATACGAAGAATGGATTTCTGTTATATTTCATTATTATTTTTCACTCAAATCACTAAAAATAAAATGTTTTCTTTCCCTGAAGAAACGTTTATTCCATATTGCGACGATGATGGATATTACTTATCTGAGCAGTGCTGGCATACAAGCGGCGAATGTTGGTGTACCGACAGATACGGCAACGAACTAACAGGAAGTCGCACCAATGGAAGAGCTAACTGTACTTGAATTTTTCAACCTTGTCTCAAAATGTCTATGTAGAGTCATGTAATTCACCTTGAATTGCGTCATTTGGTCTATTGGGTGTAATAGTGCAACTTTTTAACTAATACTTAATAATCAGTGATCTCATGGATCACAAAACGCTTTTCTATCGATTTTATTTGTTATAACTTTTAGATTAACAGATTAAACGATCATTTAAAATTTGTATTTTATTTGTATAGTATTAGTATTTTATTTACACATATTTGCATACACATCATCTAACTTCATATCGAATGACATACCGATCCACGAGATTAGTATTAAAGTCTGATATAAGTTTTGGAGGAAACGAATATTCATAATACTGTGAATAAATCAATTAACCAAATGCTCTAGGACATTTGCTTGAAACCTTCGCTGTCTATACAGAGTCTACATTTAATTCTGGGGTTATAGATCCAGCCATTAGATTTGGATTGTAGATTTCAAAGCAAAAAAAAATATTTACTCAATCTAGCAATGATCCTTGGTTAGAGAAATTCATAGCGAAATCAGTCACCCTTTTCCTGTGAGTTTTACACAATTGATTTCTAGGTTCCACCCATGCCATATACAATATAGTTAGGTCGTTCTTCTTTATTTGCTACCGTATTAAAAATGTAATGAAATATTGAAATATATATACAGATCACATGAGAATATTTCAAAAGGGAGTTGAATACTTTCGTAGATGGCAGTTATTGTGTCAAGCCTCCAAACTATGTACCACAAAACATGTTTTCCAATCCAACACAAGACAATATATTATGATAGTATATTGTTTATTAAAGTTGCATCTCCACTTTGCAAATATGTACAGAACAAGCTAAAAATGTAAATTGTGCTAAAATGATTCTATTTTGGCTAAAAATAATAAATAACAGCCCTATCTTTCCCTTAGACAAACAAACCTACAGCCTAACTGACCTTTTAAGCCTACGTTGGTGTCTTTTGTTCACAAGTGTGGCTCAAATTCATATTCTGCAGTGGATATGCTGGTGTATGTATTAGTCAGGGGATGGTACATGTGTCTCACCTCGTAACTGCAATGTTTTCAAATACCACTGTCCAGTAAATCATTTCTGTACACTTGGACCCACGGCACGCATCTGATGTAAACTGTCATATTATTACAAATTTATACACACTAGTCTACGATGTGGCGATACACTAGTTATACTACCTTGCACTAAAATATGCGGTGTTTGGATATTTAGTGTACCAGTAGTAACACATTTCAACGTCCGGTCTGGTTACCACGAATACTTACTTTTGAGATATGATTTTTAGTATGTGTTGGTTTTTGGATATTTCAGCCTCGTCGTCCTGTACTTCGTTTAGTAATTCGAATTACCAAGATTGCGTTAAAACGGCTAGTTTCACGATTTTAACACTGAAAATACCTGGGCTATATCATTTGCTGAGGGACGGCTGCTTAGGTATGTGCTCTGTAACTTGCAGCACATGAACATAAAAACGTTAGGCAATCAAAAAAAAATGACCTTTTACTAAGTACATAAACTTAAAGTATTGTGACATAAATTGTAAGTGAAAAGTACAGAGCCCTGGCTGTGTGAAATAAAAGCGCACATGTTTGGATACTTTGCAACAACCCATTGCACATGTTTATTTTTAAGACTGCTGATACAGTCACTGGATTGTGTTGTCAGCAGAATTTGAGATATATACATCATGTCTCTCCCTGTGGCATAATGGTATGTCTCAGACAGTGACATGGTGATTGTGAAATACCTTGGAATGTGCTGAGCCCAGTGTTGTTGGCAATAAAAATAGATATGACATCATTGACCCGAGTCTCCTACTTTAAATTGGTAGAGCTTGGATTAAGAGTGGTTTATTCCACTACCAAAATTTGCATCCTCTGTACACTGATTTGTCGGCTATTTCGAGATAACCAATCATTTTGTTATATACATTTTATTATTTGCATGGCCATAA